TATTATTATTATTATTATTATTATTATTATTATTATTATTGTTTTATTTTTTAACCTGGAATGGAGTCGTTATGATAAAAAATAAAAATAAAAAATTGTTTTGCAAGGATGTTCTGTCAACTGGTTACATTATCTTTATCAGTCACACTTTCCTGTAATGACAATCTCTCACATCCTGGATCAGCTTTTTGTATCCAGTTTCTTGATGTTCGAGAAAATAAGGACTGAAATTCAGGATGATGTTTCTAAGTCAGTGAAGGATCTACATGGTTCCAGTGTACTCCTAAAGACTATTATGGTGAGAGGACTGATACACTGAAATCAAGACAAAAAGAAATGTCTGTGCTTTGTTGATCATTGTTAGAGCCCATCAATGCTTTTTGGTTTTTCTTACAGAAACTGAGCTGCATGTTGTGTCTTCTTTTCTAAGTGCATCGAGGCTCATCCTCTGTGTGAACTTCAGTTAGTTTCAGAACTATTGTGTGAATGAGTAAATATCAGATGTCGAAACAAAATTGATGCAACAAACGTTATAATTAATAATTCCATCAGAGCTTCAGTTGCATTTAATTTCAATATTTTCATGTCATGCTATTAATTATCTTGTTAAAACAGTTGTCTCAAGCAGACTAACACAGTTCTACAGATCCTATGTGTTTTATTGTATTTTTATTACCCTCTGTTGTTTCATTATTTTTTCAGACAGAAATCCAGGTTCTTGGTCTATGAATCGTCTACTTATTAACCATTAGTCAGACTTTCTTTTATTGGTGCAATATAAAGGTTCCTGAATAATCTTTCAGGTCTTCTTTTTGTATCCATTTTCTTGATGTTTGAGGAAAGAATCACTTTCAGGAAGGTATTTCTAAATCAGTACATGGATATCAAAGTACTGTGTCAAGGTATTGTCCGTAATGCAGATTAACCAACCAATCACATCAGTACCAAGGACGCCCAGTCTGTAGGATATAAAAGCAAGTAGTCTGTACTCTGCCTCTCCAGAATCTTCTTAACCATTGGTTACTGCAGATAAACAATTTCAAGATTATAAAACCTCCCAGACTAAGACTCTTCAGAACTCCAACATGATGCTGCTCCTCTACCTGTTTGCTTTGGGTCTGGCTGCTGTACCTCCATCTGATGGACAAGAACTAAAGCAACAGAGAAATTCAAACTGTCCTAAGTTCTGGTTCGGCTTCAATGGACGCTGCTACATCTATGTCGCCACTTCAATGACCTGGGCTGATGCAGAGCAGCACTGTGTGAACCAAGGAGCCAACCTGGTGTCCATCCACAGTCTGGAAGAAGAGAACTTTGTCAAAAGGCTGATCAGAAACATTGCTCAAGTTGATAATATCTACTGGATTGGACTGTCTGACATTCATAAGGATGGGACATATTTCTGGTCTGACGGGTCTCGATTCAACTTCAGCTTTTGGAATGCAGGAGAACCAAACAACAATGGAGGATCTGAACCCTGTGTGCACAGCAACGTGGGCTCAGCCAAGGGATGGAACGATACATTGTGTAGACTCAAATACTCTTTTGTTTGTAAAGCTCGTCCGGCTTGCTGAGAATGTAATTCTGAATCTGCTCAGCTATTTTAAATGTGTTGATTAGAAAATATCAAACTGAACATGAGGAATAAAACATGCAAAAGTTTTTGTGTAATTAGGTTTTTCCTACTTAATTTTTGACCTTTGTTTATCATTCTTTATAAATACTCCTTTGTTTGTTAAGCTTA